GTAAGGTTTATGTCCCCCCCATGATTTTTATTTTTAATAAACAGGTAGGGGTCTGCCAAACCCCCCACTCCTTCTGAGTGGATTTAGTTAAAAAAAAAAAATATTGTAAATCAACAAATTATATCAATAAATTTTTTTATTAATAATTAAGTATGATGAGATACATCCTATCTCTAACACATCCAAGAGTGTGGCTTATGATACTAACTATGTGTTTGAACAAAAAGAAAAGAAAAGAATTCTAACCGCTATTTAGAGTTCACTTTTAAATCAAGGCACAGGATTCTCTCGAGTTCGAATCCCTAGAGGTCTCCACGTGTCTCCTTTGACACCCCGTAACCATGGGTAAGGTTCACCCACCCCTAGGGTTCACCCACCCATCCTTGGTTTTTTTTTTTTATATATTAATTATTATTTTTTTAATTAAAAAAACTGTTTAGTATGTTTTTATAGTTTTTTTAATATTAAAAAAAGTTTTTAATTTAAAAAAATTAATATTTAAAAAAAAAACCAAGGATGGATGGGTGAACCCTAGGGGTAGGTGAACCTTACCCATGGTTAAGGGGTGTCAAAGGAGACACGTGGTGACCTCTAGGGGTGACGGTTCGCACGCGTAAACCAGCTGGCTTGGGCGTTCTATCTTCTCAGCGTAAACCACGCAACGATTCAGATTCTGGAAGAAGAGTGAGGTATGGACTGTCGCTCTTTTGTCCGTTTATGACACTTCAAATTACGTTCTAAGCCTCATAAAGGGGCAAATTGTAAGGGCTAAAATTCGTAAAAACTAATTAACGTTGGAGAACGAGCTGGCTTTTATTGTCTTGTACACGAAAGTGACACGTGGACATATGTTTGAGTCACGTGCTTAAAATAGAAGGATAAACATTATCTGATGCATAGCGTTCACGTAGTACAACTTAAGACGTATCCGTGGTCTTGCAAAACAACGTTCTCGTTGTGGTTTCGACAACGTTTCCGTTGTCTTGTGCACAACGTAGACGTTGTATTCTCGACAACGTTTTCGGTGTTAATTGAACAACGAGTCCGTTGCGATTCAGATAAGGATGTCCAGGTCATATTTTAAGACATATATAATGAACCCGAGCTCGGGTCAACAACGAAACCGACTCACAGGAGGGAGTAATCAGGAGGCGATCGATTGTTCTGACAAGTGGGCTGAAAGCACTGCCTTGGCATTTAATACAGGTCACTTATGTGTGCTGTCAGACCCAACCGACTGAACTAATGGTAGGCTTTCACATGTGATGCAACAGGTGGTAGATTTTACTGACATATTTGGTAATGAGTGCAGGGCACGTGGTATGGGCATCTATGGTCATCTATGGCCATACCAAGGTTAACCTATAAATACCCCGAGAATTTCAGTGTTACAGGGATCGAAAGACACATATATTTTTCAGTGCTACTGTTTGCTTTACTATTCATCATCTTCTCCATCTACTTACTTTATCATCGGAGTACAGGTTAGGGTATCACACCTTTCAACTTCTACGTTCTACCAGTAAACCAGAGGTGAACAGTTGCAGCTGACGCGTGTCCTTTCCGGTATTTTTCCCCCTCACTTTTCATCTAAAAGCCTTTCCTGTACAAATTTCTTAAGCAGTTTAACAATCTATTCCTTCCACTTAGACGCATACACTATATTTCAATGTTTCCACATCCATTGGGAAAATGTTCTCCAATCGATTTAGCTACGTGCTACTATGGTGCATAAATTCATCACCCACATATTCGTCTATTGACCGTGTATTGGACCCATATGTAGGGCCAAATATATCACCATTGTTATGTTGCAGCAAGCATTTCTTCTTCTGATCTTCTAGGTCATGATATATTGGTTATTTTCTTTTGTAAGGTTTCTTCTGTGAAAATAGTGAAACAACTAATGGTCCGTTTAGAAACTCTACTTGAATATAATAAGCTCTAATATTTTTTAGGTAGCTGTCGATTAAAGGGATTTTTGTCAATTGATACTTGTGTACTGAGATAATAATCAATGAACGACATCCATTGCCTCAGAAGAGAGTCTGTGGCTTGGCCCTCTTCTTCCTCTGAAGTTACAGGTTAGAACATCCCGTGGGTCAACCATCTTGCTCAACATTTTCAATAGTTTTGTGAGCTATATTCATTTTCAACAACTTGGACTAACTTAAGAACACAAAATCGAAATTGTCACATGATAGAAGAGAACATTAAAATCATAGTGTTGGATCGAAAAAAAGTTGGTTGGTTTAATTACCTTATAAACGGAACCGAATCCACCTTCTCCAAGTTTATTGGCATCAGAGAAGTTATTTGTGGCAGCTATAACTGTATCCAAATTAAAGAGGAACGACTCCATACTTCTATTCTCTTCATGCGGATCATCTAATGAATATAATTAAATTGTATAACCCAGTAAGAGAAAGACGTGTTTTCAATCACTACAAGAAATGAGGGTAATAGCAACAGAAAAATAGCCACGGTATTTGATTCCGTAAGTGAAGGAACCTTTTCCCACGGTTTATTTTTTCGTGGCTATATATCTACCATATTCGTAAAAATAATTTTGGTAAATTGGGAAAAATAATTAGCCACGGTTACTTAACCGTCACTATTAATTTTTAATAGATACTCACGGAAATATTCCGTTGGTATAAGTTTTTATATTAGCCACGGTATCATTACTGTTGGGAAAAATAATTAACCACGGATACTTAACCGTTATTATTAATTTTTAATAGATACTCACGGAAAATATTCTGGTGGTATAAGTTCTTAATTAGCCACGGTATCATTACCATGGGTAAAATCATCTATTCGTATCCAGCACGTCCCTTCTTCTGCATCATCACCATCCCGCCCTAATCTCCCGCCTCATTTCTCTCCCCTCTCCTTCATCACTCTGCCTTGCCTCTCCGTGCCATCGCACACTTTTCCTTGCCATCGCCGTTGCCGACGCAAACCCCTTAAGTCGTCTCTCTCTCGATCTCTTTCTCTCTCTCTCTCTCTCTTCGGTAACCCCTCTCTTTCTCTAAGTCTCTCTTTCCTTCTCTCTCTCTCTCTCTCTCTCTCTCTCTCTCTAAGTCTCTATTAGGTTTTTGCCTCTGTGTTTTACCTATGTGAATTTTTCTAGGTTTTTCCTACATTTTTTTTTCCTATTATGCTCTTCTCGTGTATTATTTATAGCTCTGTAGAGTAGTTTTTTGTTTTTATGTAGCTCTGATTTGGGTTTCTTCACATGAAACTCTTGATGTGTTTGTTTTAGGTTATTCTGGAATATTGATCTATTTATCAAATAAATCCATATAGAAAAAACATTCTCTTGGTAGATTTAAGTGCTTGTAGTAAACTGTCTCATACAATTATTGCATATCAGTTTTTAGTACAGCATTTATGGATTACTGCAGTTTCAGTTTTTTTTTTAACTTGTTCTTGGAAATGACATTGATGGTGATGTATCATATAATTATCACTTCATTTGGTTTGATTCTCAGTTTTGTTCAATCAGCATTTTGACTATCAATATAATTCTATCGACTATCAAATGGCAAGCAACAAACTACATATTAAAGTCCAAACTGAAAATTTGAATATGCAGTCTTAATGAAGACATGATGACAATAGAACTTCAGAACAATGACTGACTCGAGTTATTCAACATCACTACTGAAATCATGATTGTGGTCCTTGCCTCTTTGGTAGTTCACTCACATTGCGAGCTAGGTTTCTGGAATCCTTGTTATTCATTAGTAACCTTTGTAATCTATTTTCAATAACTCGGTTATTGAGTATAAGAAAGGAACATATAATCTGCCTTTCTCCAGTAGTTTACTGTTTTTTTGAGGTCAAAGTGCAAGTCAAAAGTATGTCCCAGGGTGTCACAGATTTGTCAAAAAAGTTCAAAGTGCATTTATCTACAATTTTTGCAATAGTTTTCTATTTTCTTGTTTAATCAATGATTCTGGATAGTGGATGCTACTCAAAGTGCTGGAACAAGGGCATTCTACTCAAAGTGCTGGATAGTTTAGGTTAATTTAACTTTTACCAAATCTGATTTTGTAAAATCTGATTTTACCAAATCTCAATTCTTAGGTTATTCTGATTTTTGTTTCTTTGCATGAGCATTCACATATGTCTAGGCCCATGCATGTATCGAATTTGTGTAGGGGTTTCAAATGGCTACATTGTTCTTAATGTTTCATGAGAATTAAAGCGTGGGGTGGTGTGGGATTGATGGATGCTTAAGCTTGCAGATCTGCAATCTAATGAAATGTTGTCTTTTTTTTTTTTTCCATCTTCTGGACAAAATATATGGAGTGAACCAAGATCCACCATCCTCAAAACATACCACCTAAATACCAGTCATGTGGTCCACCAACTTATTAATAACCTCACAGTTCAGTTGATAGCTACCTCTAGGATGGTATATCAACCTACATTATTCTTTTGTTGTAGCCATCAGAGTTTTTATCAAGTTATGGCCCACAGATTCAATGTTTCCCATCGACGACTTGGCGGACAAGTGTATCATTAGAGGGGTAGGGCCCATTTAGTATAATGGCCCATAGATCCTTCATACCCCACCTCAATGTTCTCTCTAGCCCTTATCTCTGTTCTGAGAATAACTAAATTAGATGGTGACATACCGAATTTCACTTATCTCTTTAATATTCTTGGACTCTGACCAGTTTTACTAAGAAGTAGTAGGTTTTAAACTCTATGTAGCCTTTCAAGTGGATAGAGCCACAAAGGAAACTCCATGAAATCTTTCTCTGTAAGGAAGATATCTATGACATTGTCATTAAAAGAAACTCAGATACAGCTTTTCATCTGTGATAAGGGAGGACAGTTTTGAAGAGTCAAAGCCAGTTCATCTATATGCAAGAGTGAGTTGTATAGAAATGTTGAGTTAGATATTTTAAAAAAAATATCTTTTTGAATAGTAGTTTTTTCCTTTTCATTGGATGGGCAGGTTTAATTTAAGCATCCTCCTTATGTGGCATCGCCTGGACTTGAATCGGAGACCTTCAGTGTGTTAGATTGACGTGATAACCAACTACAACATGACACCGATTAATAACTTTAAGATAATTAATTGTACTAAGCTCTTTCCACATGCAAAGAAATTTCTTTGTTGTAAAGAAATTTCTCAAATCATGATGCTTTGCTTATTTTTTGGTTTTCTGAGTCATTTGTTTTTTCAAATATGCTTTTTTTTCCCTATGTGTGTGAGTGTATCTCATGTTAGTATTTTGTTAAGGAGAATCCACTAGCGTTCTGTTGGTGGAAAATGTACACCCCTCTAGGCCAAACAATAATCCATTCCAAGGGCCCTTTTGGAGTCGACAACTGCAAAAGGTCTCTTACATTGCTGTGTGAAGAAAACTAAACCCTTACAATAGTAGTCTTAATTAACAGGTGGATCTAGTTTTAGTCTGATTAATGGAGTCTGTTTTCTTAGTGGTCATATCAATTCATTTGAAGGGAAAGGAATTGCAAATGGTAGACAATGCAGTTTTCTTACTCTTCCATACTTCTCAGAATCTACAGGCTATGTTCAATATTCTATCCTCATCTATAGTTTTCTCTATGGTGTCATAACAGTATCCCATATTCAAATGTTCCCAAAAGAGGAGAGAGCATTTAAGTGAAGTAACACTAATTGAAGCTTGAAACAGTGAAATTCTCTTTGGGTCTCTTATAAAAATCAATCTAGGTAGTAGTTCTATGTTTAGGCAAAAAGACAATACCCAGATCAAATATATATTTTTATAGATGCTAGCTAAGAGATAATACATGTTAATATGCAATTAAATATAAATGGGCCAAGTAAATTTGTTTTGAGATTTGAGAGGTAATTTCCAAATCAATCTGGCTGACAACCCTTCTAACATGATGAGCAATAGTTGGTTTTGATTGGATGGTGTTGGGATATTCTTTTTGAGTATTTGATTATTTATTAGCATTTATTGATTTGGTTTCTCAATCTTCTGCATGCTTGAAGAGGGAAGCTCTTATCTTTCATGTCAATATATTGTTTGCTTATATATGATGAGTTTTGTGTGTCTCCCAGATGGAACACTAATGCTATACAGCAAAGATGTTGAGGAACCCTTTACCTTTTTAACTATTTTAAGTGGGGTATAAGACTACCACCACACCAAATACAGGATCTATTCCACTATTAGCTAGTCATTTAGGTTTATCTAGGGTTAGTTCAAGTTGTTTCAAGTCAATGACGGTATTGCATAAATGGAAAAATATTGATCTAATTCAAAGTCAGAAATTATAATGTGTTGGACTTAATTCAAAGTCAGAAATCATAATTTGTTGGACACTTAAGGTTGTGCCATTCTTATTGACACTTGACTTGCTTCGGAATCGATTGCTCTATAGTAATCAGCATTGACACATCCTTCTTATTATTAGTTTTGTTTCCTTTATGCTTGGAATCACCAAAATAAATGTTGAACAAAAATGTTGGGGCTGGACTCCTAGCCATAGCTGGTTGCACAAAGAACTAACATGGTTTAGTGTTGCTCATGTTATTTTGTACAAAATTTCTTTTTGTTTACTGAAAATAATTTTTTATAAATGGGTATTAAGTGTGGAATTTTATTCCAAAAGCCCTAATTTGGAGGAATGTCTGCTGCTAAAGCTCCCCCAAAAGTATTATCTTAGATTGCCGACTAATTTATGCTTGCAGATGATCTATTATCACAAATTAATTCTGTTCCTAGTTAAAGATGAGGTAGTTAGAATATTAATGAAATGTTATTTTCGAAAATTGGAGTTTCAGTATATTGCTTCTATTTCATGACACTTTTACTAAATATTTGTTATTCCTTAATTAACATTAACTTGTTTGGGCATTTCAATGGGTCTGTAATGGACTTGACATTATTTTATTTACCATCCAGTGAACCATAAGTTATGTAACTGTACTAAACACAGGTAGTTTGTTACCATCATCGGAAGAAGGTGTTAGGCATACCTAACACCTTTCTCTATTCATTTAAGATTCATGTGCATGCATTTATTGAAACCTTAGATCTCTCATTCAAGAATCACTGTGTGACAGTGTAATCCATATTGATGAAATTTTTGGCAGTGCTTCAGATTGCTCTTTGGGTACATATTTAGACAATTAAAGTGGCATGTTCCTCACTTGTCTAAATCGTGTACCCGGAGAGCCATGGGGAAATGCTGCCGAAATTTCATCTTCAATATGGATAAAATGACTAGACCGTTTGACTCTTGGGGATTATGTATTTCTGGATGGGATAGGTTAACCTCACCTGTTACATTAAAATCATAATGGTATGTCACATGCATTTCATTATTGTCTTATGTTCTATTTTAGTGTCCTTATATCTTCTATTCTTCAGGAATCCATTATGGATAAGACTTGCGTCAGTTTAAACAGGTTGAGCCCTATATATGAAGTGGGTGTTGAACGATTCTTAGACTTTGCATTCGACCATTCAGAGTACAATGGAAAGATCAAATGTCCCTGTAAGCAATGTTCAAACATTTTTTCGAGATATCGACCACAGGTAAAAGAACATTTGATAGTTGATGGATTTTTAAAGGGGTATGCCAACAACGTTTGGATTTTTCACGGAGAATTGCCACACAGAATGGGCCCAATAGTTGAAGATGAACTACCTGAAGATGATGATATGCACGAAATGTTGCATGGGGCATTCAGAGTTACAGATGACATTGGTGGGACCAGTGAATCAAGAGAAGGGCCTAATGTGGAAGCCGATAGATTTTATAGGTTGGTGAAGGATGCCAAGCAACAACTATACCCGAATTGCACTAAATTCAGTAAACTTTCCTTCATTGTTAGGCTATTTCATATAAAGTGTCTGAATGGGTGGAGCGACAAATCGTTTATCATGCTGCTGGAGCTACTGAAGGAGGCACTACCCGATGGTGAAACATTGCCTAACTCTTTCTATCACACTAAAAAAATTATTGGTGAATTAGGGCTTGGGAACAACAAGATTGATGCATGCCCTAATGATTGCATGTTGTATTGCAAACAATCTATCAATGATAGTGTATGTTCGATGTGTGGGACTTCAAGGTGGAAGCATAGCGGAGAAATGGTAGAGCCATCATCTTCCAAGGATCGTAGAATATCTGCCAAGATATTGCGTCATTTTCCCTTGAAGCCCAGACTTCAAAGGTTGTTCATGTCTGACAAGACAGTTTCATTCATGCGATGGCATGCAGAGGGTCGCACCAAAGATGGGGTGTTACGGCATCCCGCCGACACCCCAGCCTGGGACCATCTCGATGGAAATTATCCAGACTTCGCTGCGGAGCCTCGCAACGTCAGACTTGGGCTTGCTAGTGATGGTTTCAATCCTTTTAGAACAATGAGTATTGCCCATAGCACATGGCCTGTTATCTTGATGCCATACAACTTCCCACCCTGGATGTGCATGAAACAACCCTATTTCTTGATGTCTCTACTAATTCCCGGTCCTCGTGCGCCTGGGAATGACATTGATGTATATTTGCAACCGTTGATAGATGAGTTGAAGGAGTTGTGGTTGGATGGTTTAGACACTTATGATGCTTCTAGTGGTTTGAATTTTCAAATGCGTGTTGCGTTGATATGGACAATAAATGACTTCCCTGCATATGCAAACCTCTCAGGATGGAGCACCAAGGGTCGTTACGCTTGTCCGCATTGCAATCATAACACTTGTAGTAAATATTTGAAACATGGCAGAAAGTTTTGTTACATGGGCCATCGTCACTTTTTGGAAGCCAACCATAGATTTCGTCGCGAGAAAAAATCATTTGATGGAGAAGCAGAATTGAGTCCCGCTCCTATCTCATTGTCTAGGACCGAGTTGTTAGAACAATTGTCTGGTCTCAACATCTCCTTTGGAAAGCACACGACGAGGAGTTCTATAAAGAAAGAAAAAATGGATAACAATCACAACATTGGGTGGAAGAAAAAGAGTATTTTCTTCAATTTACCATACTGGGAGTACCTTCTAATCCGACACAACCTAGATATAATGCATATTGAAAAGAATGTCTGTGACAGCCTTGTCGGTACATTATTGAATATTGAAGGTAAAACAAAAGACAACTTAAAGGCACGTCTTGATCTCAAACATATGGGTATTAGATCGGCGCTTCACCCTTATGCAGTTGGACAGAAAACATATTTGCCTCCCGCGTGCTTTTCATTGTCTCAGGAAGAGAAAAATATTTTCTGTAATGTACTGTCCAACGTTAAAGTGCCAGATGGTTATGCAGCAAATATATCACGTTGTGTAAATATGAAGGAGCGAAAAATATCTGGTTTGAAGAGTCACGATTGTCACATTCTGATGCAACAACTACTACCACTAGCTATGCGCAAATGCCTCCCAAAAAACATCAGCATCGCATTGAATGACTTCAGCTCCTTCTTCAGGGAAATATGCTCCAAAGTTAATAAAGTACAGGACCTCGATAAACTGGAAATTCGTTTTCCCATTACATTGTGCCATCTCGAAAGAATTTTTCCCCCGGCATTCTTCGATATCATGATTCATTTGACTATCCATCTGGCAAGCGAGGCGAGAATTGCAGGCCCTGTACAATACCGATGGATGTACCCCATCGAGAGGTGAGTGACAATGCTTTCCTAAATGATGAATTTTGTTTTGTGAATTATGAGTTTGTTTTTATCATTAACTAACTTCAATTACATAGGTACCTACTTACATTAAAATCATATGTCCGTAATAGAAGTCGGCCTGAGGGTTCAATTGCAGAGGGATATCTTGCCGAGGAATGCCTTATTTTTTGTTCCAGGTATTTGCACGATGTTGAGACAAAGGTTAGTCGACCTCCAAGGAATTATGACTACAATACCCTTGCAAAATATCAAGGATTATCCATTTTTTCAAGGCCCGGCCGTGCGATAGGAAAAGAGGAGATTGTAACTCTATCTAATGAATCACGTGCGCAAATGCATCGTTATGTCCTCTTCAATTGCCCTGAAATGGCCCCATTCATCGCGTAAGACATGTTTGCTATCCCTATATGTAACTT